ACATCATTGTGTCAATAAGAGTCGAAGCAGAAAACAGCATTCTCCCAATATTTTTAACAGAGGGAATTTAATTCAGGACATTGACTGAACAGGGGAGGGAAGAGCTGAGAAGCTAGAGAAACTGTGAGGCAACCGGAGGTTTCAACAGCAGGGAGACATTCCCACCCCTGGGCTGGGGTCACAGGGAAGAAGTAGTGTTACCAGAGCCCACAGAGGTCACCTGGCAAAAAGGGGTCCCAAGGTGGGCATGTCTAGTTGGAAGTCAAAGCCGCAGAGAAGACATAGTCCCTGCCAGAAACATTGCTCAAGATAGAAAAGAAGGGGGAGAAATACCCCAATTTTCCCATGGATGCCATCATTGGCTGAGCCCAACCAGGTGATATGGGAGCTTCACATCTCAACCCACCAGAGTCAGACCAGGGGAAGGGTTACTCAGGAGGCCTGATGTTTGGAGAATGTCTTAAGTAAACTCCATTTTAAATTACCTTACCAGTTTCCTAGGGGAATTCAGGATAATTTCAGTCCACTCTTCACCAAGAAAAGCCTGTCTATTGAGTCTGTGTACTTGGACTGACAAAGGAAAATGGATACAGTAACAGAGATCTTCTAAAGGAGACAAGCCATCAATACCAGAGATATAATGTAACTGGTGGCCACTGGGGGTTACATACATTATCTTCATGCATCACACAAGTCTTAACAGAGTAGGAAACACATTCTGAATGGGGCTACACAAGGCCACCCAGAGGAGGCACCATGTAGCCCTCCCCATGTCTCTGCCTTTTGTTTTGTTTTGTTTGAGCCACATCCTCAGCCCTTTTATTTCATATTTTATTTAGGGACAGAGTCTTGTTGAGTTGCTTAGTGCCTCACTAAGTTGCTTAGGGCCTTGCTAAGTTGCTGAGGCTGGCTTTGAGCTTGTGATCCTCCTAGATCAGTTTCCTGAGTCACTGGGATCACAGGCATGTACCACCATGCCTGGCTTAGAGAGGGGTTTATGCTATACTAGTTTCTCAAACTTCAGGAATTTGGGAACAGCCTTCACAAGTTTTGTCGTATTTGCCTCCTTGAAGATCATCTATTCTCTCACTCATTCTCTCTCCCTCCCTCCCTCCCCCCCCCTCTCTCTTTCTTCCTCTTTCCCCCCTCTCCATATAATTTTGGGTCGAGACTTTAAAAAAAAAACAACTTACATTTGAAAGGAATTTTATGGTCACCACTAAAAATGCAAAATCCTTATCAACTCTTATACTAGAAGAACCACAAAAAGAAATATGGTGAAAACATTATTGATATCCAGGTGGCCATGTTGCTGGCTGGAAGTACTGAGCTTGAGACCTGCCCTGGGCACAGCGGGAAGATTGGCAAGTGTCAGGTACCTAAGGATGCTAGTACTACCTGGGACTTTCCCCCTGGTTTCATCAGCCTGATTGAAAGAGAATGGAGAAGGGAATAGCATTCTATAAGATTTGATGATATATGACATTGGAGTGTAAAATTGGGTTCTATATCGATGGTAGAGTGAATGAAGGCTTTTCAAACATGTCCATGTTCTAATCTCCAGGACCTGTGAATATGCTATCTTACCTAGTCAAAGAGACTTGACAGATGTGAATGAGTTAAGGCTCTCAAGAGGAGGAGGTTGTCCTAGATGATCAGGTAGGCCCAGTGTAATCACGGGGGTTCCTAGAAGATGGAAATACAGAAAGAGAAGGTGATGTGAGGACAGACACAGAGGTCAGAGACTCAGAGAGCACTGAAGATGGAGAACAGGTACGAAGCCAAGGCATGCAGATGGCCCCCGGAAGCTACAAAGGCAGGAAAAGACTCCCCAGAGACTCCGGAAGGAGCTCAGTTCCTCCATCATCTCCATTTTAGCCTGGAGGACCCTTCTGTGCATTCTGACCTTTAAAACTGTGAGAGAATATATTTGCCTTGTTTTAAGCCACGAGATCTGTGGTCATTTGTTACAGCAGCCATAGACTACTAAGATGCTCTGCCACCCAGGGAAGTGCAACTGTACCAAGCTGCCTCAGGGAAGGGGAGGAAAGAGTCAGGGAGTCTAGTCCCACCTGGCCTAAGGATTTCCTTCCCACCAGCACCTGTCAAATGGACAGGAAAGCTGGAGCACTGAGGACTGTTTCATGAAAGGCCTTGGGTGGGGCCTGGCTACAGATCAGCTGCTTGGTCATATTCTTGAGTGGCACTGGCTCCCTGGCCCAAGGCTCTGCTGTGGTACCCACAGTCCAGTTGTCTCTGTTAACATGTGCAAAAGAGCCTCAAGCACAGCACAGCATAATGGTAGCTACTTCTCTTCTTTCCACCTCCTCCTCCTTTTCCTCCTCTTCCTCCTCTCTGTCCTTCCCTCCCTCTGCCCTTCCTTCCTTCCTTTTCTGTTTTATCCCACACTGCTTTATTAGGGGAAACTGCTCTTTGTAAACTATGTGTCCTGAATAAATCAAATCTATGTAAAAATCATGGGAAGCAGGCAGGGTATGTGACTCAGTGGTAGAGCACTTGCATGTGTGAGGTCCTAGGTTCAGTCCCCAGCACAGAAAAAGAAAAAAATCCAGGAAACTCTTGCTGGCTCCAGACTCTGAGGCCTGAAAACCAAAATCATAGTGCTCATTTATTTGTCATTGAAAATAATTCCAAAATTAGAATGAGAAAACCCCCCAAAATTCTGATTAGGTAGCATTCTGATGGTAGCACTGGCATTTGGATGTTTAGATTTTTGAAATATTATACATCATATTATTTCCTCTCCCACCTCCTTTTCTAACCCTTCTTTTCTAGTGTTCTGTTAATGTTTTGTCTGCTGAATAATCTAACATTGCAGGAAATACAGTAGTAGCCTGTGTGAAATTTAACGGACAACTTCCAGGGATGTCTAATTACTTAATAAAGTCATGGTCTATATAAAATACTAAAGAAATTAAGAGAAAATGCAAGTTTCTTGTAGTTCAATTTTCCAAAGACATTAAATTTGAGATATCTATCCATCTATTTATCTATCTATCTATCTCCCAACGTTTTTAATGCCTATAGGAATGTGTGTGCATGAGTGTGTGTGCATGTATAATTTAAGGTCCAAGAAATAAAACTACTTTTACATATTTCAGTTCACAAACAGTTGAGATGTAGGCTCAGGAATCGGGCAGGTAGAAATCAATACATTGGAGATCAATATATTTTTTACTACTGATAAAAGAAAGTTTGAAGGGTGTGGCTGGTGTGGTAGCCAAGCCAATATTCTGATGCACTCTACCTGTGATTAGACATACTTGCCCACCTGGCCATGACGTGGCCAGCAGGCCTGTCCTTCTAAACTTGCCTGGCTTCAGGAAGCCCACAAGAGCAGGCCATCTTCAGAAGAAGACTGACCCACTGAGGCAAAACAGAAGGGCCTGGGCCACAGAATGCCCAGTTCACTCTGGGCAAGGGACCAATAGAAGAAATTGCACCCCTCCTGGGGCAGATGGGAAAGATGGAGATTGGTCAGAAATGTTGCTAAAACAGAAATTCTTCCACGTGGACATGTGACCTAGTACAAAACTCAAATTTGTCTACTTTTTTCCCAAGTCTTTCCTGTGAGCCATAGAGCTCCTTGGAAATGCTTAGGGGAACAATTTTGTAAGCTGCTTTCTTTACTTAATAAGTTGATGCTCTGTGTGTGTGTGTGTGTGTGTGTGTGTTTGCAGTTTCTGTGAGTCTGGAGTCAGGGTATGGCTTTAGCTATGTATTTGCTCATGGGCTTTCCAGATGCCGTAATCAAGGCATCAGCCAGGGCTGGGGTCTCATCTGAAGATGTGGCTGGGTAAAGATCTGCTTTCAAGCTCACTAATATGGTTTTTAGAAGCATTCTGCTCCTCAAGGGCTGTTAGCTTGAGGGTCTCAGTTCCCTATTGGCTGTTGGCTGGAGGCTATCATAGTGCCTTGTCCCAGGCCCCCTCCAACATGGCAGCTCAAATGTGGAAGCTTGCTTCATCCAAGCCAATGAGGGACAAGACTTACTTCTTTGTGGAGCCTAATCACAGAAGTGGTGTCCTATAACTTTGCCATATTCTATTGATTAGAAGGACATCACCAAACTAGCCAACATTTTAGGGAGAGGATTAAACAAGAGTACAAAGACAAGGAAGCAGGGATCATTGGGGGTCATAAGGAGTCTACCTGCCATAGCAATTAAAAAGCAGAACTAGTATTTGAAGTCAGTACCATCACACTCAGTAATTCCCCACAGTTAACGGATATGTTCTATTGCTTCCTCAACAAATTAACCTGATTCCTTCTCAGAATGATTAATCTGGTTATTCTAAGATAGACTCCAGTGTTTTTCTAAATGCATTATCCTTTTAAATTTAATCTTCCAAGTGGGAACCTGAAAGAGCCATTTTGAGGTGGGTGAATTTATAATTTCTATGGATTTTATTTAGAGGTAACATTAGAAAGTAAAACTAATGACCAGAAGACTTCCAATGCTAAATCCTGACCCCTAGCTATTAGATCTAACCTTCCCATATGATTTTTAGAAAATCTGGCCAATTTACATAAGGATAAATACAAACTGGGCAGATGATTAAATTCAAAGCAGAGAAGCAAAACTGCCTTGGGAAAAGAATTTATATTATTCATCCAACCTTTTTTCTCCCTTTTGTGTTATGAATCTGTAACTAAATTCAGAATTGAAATGACTAGCCTTAACAAACATCTTTAGACTCAGCCATACATCTGCGTGTAATTTGGTTTTCAGGAAAGCAGGAGGACGGGTTGATGGGGCATCTTTGTGGGCAGAGATATATCTTCATTTATTGAAATTTTCCTAGCAACAGAAGTAGTTTTCTTTTTCGCCCCCAAATCCTCAAAGTAGAAACAGGCAAAAATGATGACAAGAAATCTAGAAAATTGTAGGTGTATTTTAGTTTCTTTGGAGTGCAATTTGTGTTGTAAGTGTATTTCATTGCATTTGCCAACATAAAGTCAAAATCTTTTTTTTTAAGGTAATGACAAACACGAGCTAATGTGGATTTTCACCCCTCCAAAAGCTAACATATGGAGCAGCAGGTAAATGCTATCATGTCACACTGCTTGGGGATTGCCTTGGCATTTCAATTGCTTCTCCCTTGCATGGTGATTTTTCTTTGGCTGTTTTCGTATTATTCAACTCTGCATGCTTTCAGAACTTAGCCAGCTCGATTTCTTCTGGGAAGTAACAATAACAATAATAACATGCATGTAAACATTTTTTATCGATCTCTTATTATGGGCTCCTTCTATCCTGTACTGATATATACATGCAGTATTTCATTCTGTTTTCATAGTAATCCTGAAAAAAATAGGTAATTATTTCAATTTTACACATGAAGAAAATGAAGCAGGGAACTTAAGTAACTTCCCCAAGGTCACCCAGGTAACTACGAGTAGAGCAGGATTTGAGACCCTGCTCTTTAGACTATGTTATACTGCCTTCCAGGTGTCTGGGCAAATGAATGAGTAAATGACCAATGAGCTCAAGTAGAGGTCTCTAGTTGTATGAACAAATTGTATTTTCTCTTTCTCTCCCTCCCTTCCCTGGCAGAGTATAGTATAAGAAGACCTCGGGCTTTGTGGGTATTTATGTTGGTGAGGGACGCGCACTGTGGAATCAGAGTCGTAATCCAGTTCTGACTTGCGGCTTTTTAGCTATGTCACCTTGGCCAAGGTTATATGACTTTGCTGAGTCTCAGTTTGCACTTATAGCAAACAGGAATAATGAGTGTGCCCATTTCCTACAGTTGGCCTGAGGATTTCATGTGGGTGCACAACTACAGTGCTTACACAGTGACTGACCTGATGGACACTTGTCTATTTACTGACATTCACCATAATCATCATGTGGAGTTACACAGTGCTGGATTCGAGCCCTGGTTCTGTCACTTCTTAGTTTCATAGTGAGGAGAAAGGCACTTTTCTCTCTAAGAGTCAATTTTCCTATCTGTAAAATGGGCTTCCTAATATTGCCCTTGTTGTGAGGGATCTTCTAAAACATTGCATGGGAATAATTTCAGATGTTACCCAGGAGGCACTTGCACTTGTTGATGTCAAGAGCCATTTTGGCTGTCAGAGTTGAGGGTTAGTGGTGGGGGTACTACTGGCACATAGTGGGCAGAGACTAGGAGTGCTACTAAATATGCCACAGTGAGCAGGGAAGCCCCCTACAACTGGGATCATTTGACCCCAAATGTCAGTAGTCCCAACACTGAGAAATCCTGCTGAGTGGGCACTTAACACAGAACTGGTGTCCAAGAAATGCTAGCAATTATTATTTTCTGTCTTTTGGAGCTTCTGTTTTTTTCCCCCATTACTTTGAAGGGTCCTTCCAGCTTTAAGATTCTCTGATTTGACTCATAGATATAACTCTATATGTGAGGCCACAAGGATATAAATACTTGTTTCTAAGTATTTTCATCAAAGACTAGTTGAAAACAATGATCTATTTTGGTGCAAGGGAAGAATCTTTTTCCCTTAGCTTGAAGTTTGGCAGAAGTCATACTTCAGAGTATTAGCTGACAATAGTCTATAAGAGCTGGCTTTTCCCATTTCATATTACAAGAAAAACTCTAGAGTGAAACTATTTGGGCTATAATCCCATTCCTATTTCCAAGGGATTTATAAAACTCAAGGTTTTCTTAGATGGGAAATGTCCAATTATCACTGATTTTTTTTTTTCTGAAGAGTTACAGTTATGGACAAATTTGTAAACTTACATTTTCAGTGTTAAAGTGGGCCTATGAGGCCATCTTTTCCCTTGGAGATCAGCCTTTTTAGTTGTTTATATTTTTTTCCTTTCATAATAACAACACTTAATCGTTGTGGAAAACTTGCAGAGTCTAAAGAATATTGAGGAGATGAAGGGGATGAGGAGAATGGGCATCCTCCGGCCACTCAAATTGGCTCAAGTAAAGTACTATTAACATATTGGCACATTTCTCCCCAGTGTTCTGTCTCTAAGCATTGCTAAGCATTTGGAATGAGACTATGTAAAAACTTTTATCTTACCTTTCCCACTTAACACCACAGCATGACAATTTCTCTATGTTATAAAAATGCTTCCTCAACATTTTTAGAGTGGGAGAATATTTCAGCATATTAATGCATATTTGTAAAATTTATAAACCTAAAACATTTCATTATTGAATAAATCAGTTGTAAAATACCAAAAAATATAAAATGTATTTTTATACAAAATAAAAATAAAAAAGTTAACCATTGACACTAAAGAAATTCTCTTTCTTCAGTTTTAATAATTCTTAACAATTCCATGTGTACTTTCCAAGGTTGTATTTGTGGTATTCATTAGTGTCATATCCCAAGGATAGACCATGTGATAAGTTCTGGCCAATGAGCTATAAGTATTTAAAAGTTGATCTAAGACCCTGTGGGCCCTGTGTTCCCTTTGCTATAACAACTGGAAATGTTCCAATTAGTGACTGGTCATCAGAGATGTTTGGAGAGAAGGTGCCACAGAGCAGAGATCTGTGGACATGTGGAATAAGTGAAAAATAATATGTATTGTTTTACTTAGGTGTTGTCTATTACAGCAGCATAACCTGTCCTATCCTTACCAAGAAAGTAGTTCTTCCTTACCAAGAAAGTATGCACACACACACACACACACATGCAGACACACATAGACTAATTGACTGTAGCCTATACATTCTTTTGTAACCTTTTTTGTTTCTTTGCTTTTTTTTTTTTTTTTGGTAAGAAATATATTTACTATTCAAAAGCTGTTGATTGAGAATCTATCATGTCTTTGAACTTTTCCAGTGTTGATGCTATGTCAGAAAAAAAAACATCCATCTGTCCCTCAATGGAGTTCATTTACATGGATATTCATCCATGTCTGTACCTAGATATTTATCAGTATTATCCTTATTCTTAACACATGCCTATTATTCTATGTATGGATATACTATAATTTATTTAACTATATTTTCATTTACAAATATTCAAGTTGTCCCCAGCTTGTTGCATGTTAAAAACAAGCTTGCAGTAGATATCAGCATGCCAGTATTTTGAGCCCTGTATATCACAGGCATGCTGGTGGATACATCATTTTAAAAAAAGTTTTGTTTTGTTTTGTTTTTTGTGGATGGACACATACCTTTATTTATTTATTTTTATGCAGTGCTAAGGATGGAACCCAGGGCCTCATATGTGCTAGGCAAGTGCTGTACCACTGAGTCACAACCCTAGCCCCTGGTGGATATATCTTAACCCACTTGGCCATTCTGCTACAATTGGACAGGATACATGGACCATTTCCAGTTTCTTGCTATGGTACCTGCACTGGCATTGCAGTTAACCGGGCTGAAGCTTTGAGGGTAGTTGAGGGTTATTTCTTTAAGATAAAGACTTCACAGTGTTATGACTGGGTGAAGGGCTTGGGCATTTCTCAGGCTGTTGGTGCATGCTGGCACAATTCCTATTTGTTTCCTTTAGGGCTTGTGCTGGATTCTGGTTGTTTTGCACATGAGAAGTGAGGGGATATGAACTGCTGAACATCTTCTTCAGGGCCAACTGAGGAACCAGGGAAATCCAAATAGGAAATGAGGAAGCTCTGTTAATACTGGTGGGAAAGCTGGTTTTGTGTGTTTTTTTTTTTTTTTTTTTTTTTTTTTAGAGAGAGAGAGAGAGAGAGAGAGAGTTTTTTTTTTAATATTTATTTTTTAGTTTTCGGCGGACACAACATCTTTGTTTATATGTGGTGCTGAGGATCGAACCCAGGCTGCACGCATGCCAGGTAAGCGCGCTACCGCTTGAGCCACATCCCCAGCCCTTTGTTTTGTTTTTTAGCAATTAGCATTTTGCTTTATTTTTAGGGGGGTTTCTTTACCTGTAGGATTACATACCTGAACTGGTCCCAAGCCTGGGAGGGTACATGAAGGGGACTCCCTGGTGAATTCTCTCGTGCTCCTCAAGGCAATGAACTATTTCTCTGTCTCTGTTGCCTCCCTCCCACCAATACCACACATTGGTCATCTCCCGGCGCCTGTACCACTCTCCCCTCCCTGCTCCCTCAGCGATAACATGGGGACAGAAGTGATGGCCACAATAGACCACTTACCTGGCACACTGCATCCTGCTCTCTGCAGCCACGTAGCAGGCAGGATTTCTCCTACCCCAACTTGGCACACGGTGGTAGACGGATTTTTGTTACGGCCAAAGTTTCCCCAGAAGGTGTCTTGTTTCCATTCTCTGGAGAGAATTTTTAAAAGTTCATGGTGCAACATCTTGCCAAATTTTCTAACTGACTCCAGGGCCCTTTGAAATATGAGCTGCAGCTGTCCTGTCCTGCTGGAGGTTTTGCCTGTGGGACAAAGGACCCGTGGCCCATGTTGCCCAGTGTGCACAGAAGTTGTGAGTTTTTTACCTACGCATGGTGACTCCATTTCTGGCACCCAGAGGTGTCGGTAGTCTGACATTCAGTATCCTTATCATGCATGTGATTGAAAGAGTACATGGACTAGGTAGAATCCTATTGTCTCACTGTTCAGACGGAGCTGAAGGAGTCATTCTTACTTAAATATGCAGAAACCCCTAAGGTAGAGCGAAGAGTAGGGGTGATGTCTCCTCTTTGGAAGGTAATTTCATCCATTTTATAAAACGTAACTGCAGGTCTCCTTGTGCCAGGCAATGCTCTGGGTATTTGGGTTATGTGAATGATCAAAGCAGACACTTGCCCTCAGGCACTTCCATTCTGGAAGGGAAATTCAGACAAGACACAAAATAGATAGATGCTACAGCAGGATCGGGGGATGATATTTATGCTATGAAGAAAAAAGACAAAATTGAAGAGGGCCAGGGAGAAGGCAGGTGGCAGGCATTATTAAATTGGATGGTCAGAGTGACCCTCGTTGAGAAGGTAAAATTTCAGCAAAAAGTTGAAAGAGATGGGAGAGTTAGGAAGATATCTGGGTGAAGAATGTAGAGAGAAAGGCTCTAGAGGGGGCAAGGACCTGGGTGCGTGCTGGGCCTGCTCAGGATCAGCAAAGAGGCAGTACCCTGGAGCCAAGGGCCAGGGGAGAGGAGGGGCAGGCCAAGAGGTGGTGGGAACAAGAAGGCCTTTCTTGCATTGTTTGAGCTTGGGTGCTGCATATTTCGAGTGGAAGAGTGGCATGGTTTGATTTACATTTTGAAAGCTTTTCTTTGGCTGCCATGTGAGAACTTCTGGAGAGGGAGAGAGAGAGAAGCCAGGAGTCCGGTTATGAGGCGGTTGCGGGCATCAAGGTGAGAGTGGGTAGAGAGAGTGAGAAGTGGTTGCATTCTGAATCTATGTAAGAAGCACGTCAGCATGATTTTCTGATACCCTAGATGCCAAGGAAAAGGAAAGGTTCGTTCTGAGGTTCTGTCCTGGGGACTGGTAGAACAGAGTTGCCAGGACCTGAGGTGGGAACAGTACTGGGAGGGGCAGTTCACTGGGGAGGAAGAGGCTCAGTTTGGGGCACTTGCAATTTGAGGGACCTGCTAGGTGTCAGGTGGAACTGCAGTAGGCAGCTGGACAGAACACCTCAGACTCAGGACGGAGGTCTGGGTTTGATATCCTCAAAAGGCCAGGCTTTTTCTTCTATTTTTAGGAGTCAAATTTTCTGTTATTCAGAGGAATATTAAACAACTTCAAAAAAATGGTCAGTACTTCCCCACCTCTACAGTCAATAATGATTGATATTCAGAATGACGAGCCCAAGATCCATAAGATCCTTAGTATATTCCGATTTATCAGTGAAGGTCAGCCTTTTGTTTCAGTTTATATTTGACAGTTGATGCTCTCCTATGGTAGCTGTAACCTGAAGGACATTTATTTAACTATATTTTTACTTTTCACTGACACATACTAATTGCACATATTTACAGGATACAGTTTGACAATTCAGTACATGTATACAATGTGGATTGATTAGATCAGGGTAATTGCCACATCTGTCACCTCAGACAGTTACCATTTCTGGGTGTTGGGAATGTTCAAAATCCACAACACCCCTACACCAGTTCCGTCTGGGTGGAAAAGGGAACATGTTTGGAACCAAACAAGCCTGAGTTAGATTCTTGGTGCTGGCAAATTCGCTACTGTGAAAAGTAATCTAAAATCTCCTATCCCCAAATCTTCACTGTAAGGTAGGAATACCAACACCTATCTTAGAAGGACACCAGAAGTGCTGGACCTGATTCTTTGTAATCTTCATTATTCCTATGTTATGTCTTTCCCACTGGGTAGATGCCTTCTAAATCTGTTTATTTGACCTGTTCCTCCTCCCCCACTAATGGAATGCCCAGCACAGAGTAGGTGCTTAATAAATGCTTAGTATCTTATCCCTTAGACTGCCATCTGAACAAAAAGAAGGATTTTCATTTCTCTCCTTGGTTCTTCTGCTGTATATTTGTTATTTTGTTTTTGGAGGATGTATCACTGTGTGATATGACATGGGTGGTTTATCTGTTTATGTTCTACCTCTTCCATGAAATGTAAGCTGCAGGCGTAAGAACTTGTGTTTGTTGAAACCCCTTGCCTGTAGGCTCAGTGCTGTTTCTGGTTATTGTAGGGTCTCAGCAACTAGTTATTGAACAAACAAGGAAATCGATGAATGAGGTGAGCATACAACCAACTCTATCATTTCACATACAAAGCGAATCTCCAAAGGCCATAAGCCAAATCGCCTTGAAAAATCTGCTGCCCCAAAGAGGACAGACCTGACATTATTTCCAGCAGCAAGGTTTTACAAATTAATCGATTCTTCTGATGCAGTGTGGGCTTAAACCATTTATCCAGAGGCACCATAATATGTTGTTTGAATGACTCTAGGAGACATGAGAGCTGGGATGATGAGTTCAGCACCTGACGGGCCTTTGCAGTTTATTTGCCTTTCAGTATGCACATCTGGTTCTGGAGGGACCAATTCAATGAGCTCTCTCCCCGTTGCCTCCCAGCTCCCAGAGAAGATGCCCTCTGGTGACATCACCTCCTTTCAGATAGGCCGCCGCCTATGCAATAAAGCATCGGCCTGGTTGTAGCCTGGGGCGCCACCCACCCCTACAGCAGCAATAATTAATAACACGAGGAATACAGGAATACCGAGACGGGCAGGATGAGTCACTGTCGTGAGTAACCAGCCAAACTGAAATGTCCTTTAACACGAAGGGCTTGAAATGATACAGGAACAAAAACGCACTCCTTTTGTTCCCATCTTTCATGGGCATGCTCTGCATTTTCAGGGACTTCGCCTGGCTTCCCCTCTTCTGTTGTATGTCCTAAAACACCTCTGAGTCAAGGTTCAGAGTTATGTTTTAACACCCAGCTCTGCAGACTTCAAGTCTCTGCCGGCACCTTTCTCTCATCTCTTTGCGCTCTCTGCCTGTGTACCACCTGTGTGATTTTTCACTTTCCGGTTTTCTTAATTGTAACTCACCTTTGTTACTCAAATAAAAGAAAAAAAAAAAGATTGCCTCAGTGTTTATGATTCTGGCAAACTAGTATCTCCTGCCATAGACCTGGGTAAAATTAGAGGAGAAAACAGAATAATGTCAATATGTGTTTGTAGCTCCTGCTGTCTGCTAAGAACTCTGAGGCGAGGACTTGAGATCTTTCTGACAAGAGAGGAGGGTGAAGAGGGTTAAGGGTGAAGAAATAGTGAAGGCCAATGCTGGCTTTCTCTCTGAAGTAGTGAATTAAATTGAAAAGCAAATACCTATGAAGAGCTCCTTTGTGATGATCTATTCTGCATCAAGATTGAGTTATTCATGGGATGAAATTACATGGAATCTCTCTGTCACACACACACATGCATGTGCACACATGTAAAAACAAACTCAGAATAGGATCCGTAATCCAGTTAAAAGTGTTGTACCAATGTCAATTTCCTGATTTTGATATGACACCCCAGTTACATAAGATGTGATCATTTAGCTGGGTGAAGAGTACATAGGACTTTCTGTGTTATTTTTGCAGCAACTTCCTGTGGGTCCATGTGATTTCAAAATAAAAAGTGTTAAAACAGGAGGGGAATGTTGGCCCCCTCATGTGGCCTGCATCTGTGTACCATCTAAAATCAACATGTATACTAAGCATTTCACATATAAATTGGTTTATCATTTTCCAGGGACAAAACTTTAAAAGACTTATTAATCAGGCTGTGGACCCCTCGAGAGCAATGTGTAGCATATGCATATGGTTAATTCTTTAATATATTAGATTTAAGTTTATTGTAAGGGACAAGATAGCATCGTGGTTAGCCTAGGCTCTGAGTCCCACCAAACTGAAGGAATCACAAATTCATTTTACCAGGAAATAGACCTCAGACCAGTCTTAACCTCCCAGAGCCCAAGATTTTTTTTTTTTAAATTGAGAAGTCATCTTCTTTCCTTCCTTCTTCCTCTTCTTGTCATCATCATTCTACTGGATTGAATTGTACCCCCCTACCCATATGGTATGCTCAAGTCCTGGCACCTGTTAATGTGACCTTATTCAGAAACAGGGTCTTTGATCTTATCGATTAAGATGAGATCAACTTGGGTTGGAGTATGACCTACTGGAGTCTTTACAAGAGGAAGGACAGGGTGATTTGGAGACAGGGGCACAGAGGAGATGGGGGTGACTTTATTGGATTAGTGCCTTCATAAAAGACAGCTAGCTAGCCCCTTTCAGCACATGAGGACACAGTAAGAAGCAGCCACCTGTGAACCAGAAAGCCAACCCTCATGAGACTACAAATCTTGCCAGTGTCTTGACCTTGGACTTTCCAGCCTCCAGAAAAGTGTGAGAAAAAAAAAAATTTTGTTGCTCATAAACCCTGTTTGTGATCGTTTGTTACAGCAATTCAAATGGACTAAGACACACAGAGAGTAATTGACTTGCTCTAAGACACAGAATGAAGTTAATGTCATATCTGAAAATTTTATTCTGTTTCCTTCTCTGCTCCTCCATCTTAAAAGCACCAATTATTGAGCCAAGGAATCTTAACTGAGATGGGACCTTAGAGCCCTTCCTATCTAGTCCACTTTCTGAAGAAAATTGAGACCGAAAGAGAAGTGATTTTCCCAAGTCACAGAGCAAACTTCTGTATTTTCCCTACACACAATTTTACACCCCAATTACCCAGCAATCAGTGTAAAATAATAGACTATGCTGCCCCTAGTGGTAGAGCTGTGAAGTACAAGCCGCCACAGCCCAGAAA